TTAAACAAATGCAAAGTGTTGAAAAGATCATCTTTCCATTGTCTTAAAATACTCAGTTATTTTATACCCAATGTTTATATGTTTTAGATTCTATTTCTGAACTTCTCATTTTCCATTGATCCTTCTATTCACTAGGACTCAAAAAATACAAATCAAAAAATAAAAAAATTCAAAAAAATTCAATGAATCTGCTTACATAAAAATTAAGGACACCTCAGACAATATTAACAGAAAGTGGCAGGCTGGTAGAAGATGTTTACTATGTCTAAGAAAAGGAATTGATAGCTAGAATATATGCGAAGCTCTTGAATTGAATTATAACTTTTCCATTTATATAAATTTCATTTATATAAATTTAAAACAGACACAACACTGTATTTCACATCCATAGCCAGGAACACGTGCCGATGGCGGGGACAGGTAGGTGAGTGGGGGCCACAACTTAATTGTCCTAGAGTCTCATTTGGTCTGTCATTCACTGCGGGGGACCAGCTTGCCACACACCTGACTCCTACCTCTGAAGGTGTGAAGAATCACGACTTAGATCATTTTATCGTGCAAGAACCTTCGACAGGCCCACTATCTAAAGAGATGATACAGGACAGGAGACGAGAAGACACAAGCAATCTCGGAACCTGGGGCAACGGGGAGGGAGGCGCCAAAGATGCCGTGGCTCTCATAGGAGAAAGAAACCTGCAAGAGAAAGTGTTCTTGGATCACAATTGAGCTCCGAGCAAACCAGGGAAAGGCTGACTCGATCCGATTTATGGAAGAATCTAAGCTAGAACTATAAATATATTAAGTTCTCTCACATTCAAATATTAGGCTTGGTACCTACTAGGTAAGGGGAAGGGAATCATTCTGTAAGACTTAGATTCGCAACAGGCAGGCTAAACAAAATCACACGGGTTGTCTTTGCCAGTCCTGAACGGAAATGGAAAGCTTATCCACCTTAACCAAGTGATGTGGAACGAATTTTGCTTGGCATGTTTGTATTACACTTTGAAAGAGAACTGCTCCACTTCATTGCCAACGTAAACTCTCTCAAAAGAGAAGATCCAGGTGGGGTCTTAGGATTCTGAAAGCCATGGACCTATGATACAGAGAACAGACCCTCATCCCTTGTCTAGTCACACCCACTCCTAACCAACAGTGCTAAGGGACAGTGAGCAGAAGCACAGCTTAGCTGGGAAGCGGGTAGAAATAAGCTTCTTAAAAATACCCTCCTTCTCGTGTCAGAGTCTATGCTCAGGCAGGGTGAACACGCCACCTAACTCTACTCTTCAATCACCTCGTGCTCTCCTTCCATTCACAGGAATTTTGTGAAGATTTGTTCCCAAATCTATAAAAACGATCTTTAAACAGAAATGATCTTTAAAGCTATACGCTAAGAAATCTCAATATGATGATTTAACAGCCCAGCCATTTTCAAAATGACTAAGTTTTTCTTGACCTTCAAAAACATTAAAGATGAAGGAGTTTCACAGCGGGAACTGTTTCTGAATCAGCACAGCTCATTATCATGAATGGGCTTTTTCATATGGTTAATCGGTGGGTGAAAATAAAGGGGACGGCCATTTTTAGTGGAATGTACACACTCTTAGATGAAATAATCAGTAAACACTAAATAGCCATTGTTGGCCTCAACGCTAGTAGCTCTTGACAACATTCGTTCATCTCGACATGTATTGATGCGATAGGTACTTTGCCCTGATTTACCTGAACAAGGAAGATGGGATTCCTATTTTTATAGTTTCTACCTGGTTGTGTGTTAATTCCTACAATGTGTGTTAATGAAAATGAGTTTTATAATAAGAAATTAACTAGGAGATGAAGCTATGAATGATGCCAACTCTTTTATATTGTTTTATTGACCCAATTCATAAATTAAAAGGTAACTGAGTACTGAAATTCTTTCTTTTCTATTATTCAACTTATTTGGGCTTTACCAAGATTCTTAGACTAAATTAACCATTTCATTTCTCCTCTAAAAATAATTTAGAGACTAACTCTATAAAAATGATTTTACTCATTACCATAGCGCATCTAATAATTCTGAGCACAACTCTGTTGTAGCTCTAAGTTGACACATGAAGCAAAGTCTCTGAAACCTCACGTCCCTCACGGTACCAAAGAAACAAATATATATACATACAGTCTACCAGCTGACCTGGCAGACAGACGAAAGTAGTTGTTGGTGCTGTAGTTTATTTTCTTCCAAGTTTTATACTCTC